TGTAGAGAGCAATACATTTAAGAATTGTGGAAGCTTTCTGCTAGATCAACACTGAGCAGGCCACTTGCAAACAATTGCACTTTTAAGTCTTGCTCAGACTGCAGCTCTATGAGGATGACTGTCATCTCATTCCAGGGTGTTAAATGCTGTTATTCTGTTCTGGGAGATCAGTCATCAGTTTCAATCACTGACAAGTTTTCTTGTCATTGGCTGCTTGGCTGGGTTTAAGTACCTCAGCTGGTTAAGGTTAGGGAGAGATGATTTTAGTTAAAATACACTACATCATTAACTTTCCGTATTTTAGGACTCTAGAATCCCAGAGATCCCACTTGCACGCATGCTTTTTCCTTCTTGTCTTTGTGACGGTGTGTGTTCGAGGTACTTAAACTTCTAGCTTGTGCCGCAGAAAAGTGAAAACATTCAGTGTAATTTTATAGAAATGCGAGGCAATTTCAATGTTTCAAGTAGCTCAATATAAATGGCACACAAACCATATCCTGTGCCACTGGGCACAACAGTGTTTACCTCATTTTAAACCTGCCAAGGACCAGGCTATTGTCATCAACTCCTGATAGGTAAAACCTTGTAAGTGAAAGAGAGTAAACTTCTTTTTTACCATAACTGTTAAAATAAACTCTTGTAGGTTACACTAATATAAAAAGATCTGCTTTTGAAATCCAAGAAGAAATGAAGAACTGATGGGAATAAATACCAAAACAAATCGGAACAAAACAACAAATTAGCAAGAAGATTATTATAATCCAGTAAACAACAGACTACTGTCAGCCTGAATATGCAACGAGTATGCAGAGCTCCTGACAGCAGTGCAAAATCACGCCGATAAGCGTTCAGCGAGATACAAACAGTACAAACATTCAGTTACTGTTAATTATAGCGTCATCCTCAGGTCCAAATTTCTACTTTCTTCAATGCTTCTGAGATGTTTGAGATTAAACATTAAACAGGATGATTTGCTGTAAAAGTAGCTCTATAACAGTACAGATGTAAAACAGTTTGTCAGTATGTTGGTTATCTGCCTGCAGGAGGACTGACAGCCCTCTGACTGAAGCCATCACAGCTGGTACTGTGGTCTAAACCTGTACTTTGGAGAAAGCAGAAGTACAGACTTTTTATTTGACCTTTAACTTTCACCTTAACAGAATTAGCTACATTTCCAAATAATCTCATGTTTTTTGTTTATTTCAGTGAACATACCTAAACCTTTCATGCTAGTGTTGACGTTATTGCAACTCTGATCAAACTGTCATGGGCAGAAAGCTGTCAAGCATTTGTAATGTCCTACATAATTTTATATGTTGCACTTTCCCCCCCTTTTTGCAGTCTTTGTACATTATTATTGAAAAAAAAGTTTCCTCCCTATAACCGTAACCATGACTGTAAAGCAAAACAAGCACCAACCAGCTAGCAAACAGTGGAAAGTTTGTAAATTATTGTTTCTTTCTGTATTTATTCTCACGTGTTTATGCTAAAGCCCACCAACATAAACCTGCTGAGGCACTTGTTTTTTGGGTGATTCCTTTACTTCCATCTGTCAGTAACAAAAAGCAAATGCAGCTGCAGACTGTTGCCAACATGAGACTCTGAATGACCTCAATGTGTCTCCGTTAAGGAGCACACGCACACACTGACACTCTGTAGCTCACTGGTATTGCGTGCACACTCCATCTACAAGCGGCATAACTCTCGGCCACTCTGAAATTATGTTGCTTACTTTGGAGTGAGTATGAAAGGGCAGTTGGCTCTGTCAGCATGCCTTCCTGTCTGCTCTATTTATGCTGCAGTGGTGGATTGTAGAGCTAGAAATTCTACATTTTCGAGATTTATATCCTGGGGTTTTCTGTTTCAGTGAGCTGTAATTTTGTGATTTCAAGAATCTGTCAGGAACTGGGCTGTCTTTTGATCCATACTTTTTTTTTTTCAACGTCCAGTTAATTATTATTATTTTCTTTCCATGAGGCTCCTTGCTTCTGCCTTGTTTCCTTTTCCTCCTTCCAGCTCCTCTTTCTTTCCCATCTCCTTGTGACAGATGAGTGTGGTCAGAGGTCATGTGTTTGTAATTAGGTGAGCCCTGCCTCAGCACTCGGCCCTGTTTCCTGTTTCTAATCTACAGGGGGAACAGACTGCAGTTCAATCAGCCCTGAAAACAGCTGTTAGCCTCAGGCTCAGCCTTCAAATGCCACAACTTAAATAAAACTGTCTTTAACCTGTCTTCACAGTCTCATAACATTTATCAAAACCTTGTCCTCCACCACACCGGCTCCACACACTGACTTCCTTTTGCTTTGCCTGTTACATAACTGCAGAACGACTAAGACACAGGAATGCTCAAGGCTTCAGAAATGATACACTCATACTGATAACAAGCCCCATTTTTTATGTCCTTTGCTTCTTTTTTTTTATAGATTAACTATTTCCAGCATCTTTGGGCCTGTTTCCAACTCACTTTGCTCTTCAGGTGGTTCTTATTACGCTGGTTTAGTCTTTGTGGATTTTTCCAGCCTTCAGTGGTTTATTTCTTCTAAGTCTGTCAGCATAAAAAAACGTTTAATCTAGGGAACCAACATCAGCCGTGACAGAAGCAGTTCATCAACGGATTTACGTTATATGGGAATTTTTTTCTTTTTGATTATTATTTGAGCGCAAACAAATAAAAATGGACGACGATATCTAATGAGTAGCTCTCTTCTTTGTCTTTTTTTTTACAACTTTACACAAAATGGTACTATTTTCCTCTCCACTGAGGACTGGTGTAATTCTTGTATGCAATAAATGAAGTCATTGATGTCATTAAATGACTCAAATTGAGCTGAAGCAGTTAGCATCATCTACAACTGCCAAAACACACAAAGGGTGTTTTTAGCATCATCTGTTTATTTTGAATGTCTCTCATGGTACCAGCAAATTCAGCCTAAGGTCAGGCTGTGCAGTGCTCACAGAAACTGAAAAAAAAAAACGAACAAACCAAGAGTTACGTCTCAGCTCTACGCTCTTTAGTTTGCAAAGTTCTTCTAGAAGAACAATGTCTTTTGCATGTCTCCACTTTGGACATTTGGACCAAGAGGCGATATTTGGCCATAATGCACACACTTGATGAAATCTAAACACCACAGATCAACGCAAACACCTCACACCAACTATCAGCACAATGGTGGAGAGGTGATGGTTTGGGCTTGTTTTGCAGTCACAGGACCTGGGCACCTTGGAGTCACTGAGTCAACCAAAAACTCTGTTTACAAAAAAATGTAGAATTGCATCATCGTCTGGGCCGGCAGGTTGAATTTCTTCAGCTGCCTCAGGAAGTACATCCTCTGCTGGGCTTTCTTTATGACGGAGGTGATGGTGGGCTCCCACTTGACGTTCTGTGTGATGGTGGTACCATGGAAGTGGAATGAGTCCACAGTGGTGATGAGGGTGGCAGTCAGGATGATGGGGGGGGAGTGGGGCTGCGTGCTTCCTGAAGTCCATTCTGGGCATTCAGCACACCAGACGTTCAGCCTCCATCCTGTTGGGCCACAGGTGTCGAACTCCAGGCCTCGAGAGCCGGTGTCCTGCAGCTTTTAGATGCGTCCTTGATCCAACACAGCTGATTTAAATGGCTAAATTACCTCCTCAACATGTCCTGAAGTTCCCCAGAGGCCTGGTAATGAACTAATCATTTGATTCAGGTGTGTTGACCCAGGGTGAGATCTAAAACCAGCAGGACGCCAGCCCTCGAGGCCTGGAGTTTGACACCCCCGCTGTGGGCAGACTCAACCCCGTCCGAGATGAGTCCGATAACTGGTTAGTTTGTAATAGTCTTCAGGTGCTTCAAAGAGCAGGGGGTAAAGTGGAGTTTGTACTGTGTGCGATGATTATTATAGATCATCTAAATGAATCTGTAGCCCACCTTTCTACCTGAAGAATGCTGCCAGACGCAAAATGAGAATTTCATTACTGCAGTGATAGCTGGTGTTTTTCACTCATCGGGGATAATTGGAAGGAAAATGTGTCTCAGTTGCTTGTTCATTGTTTAAGTTTAATGGGATTAGTTGAAACAGCCTGAACCGGACGGTTGTTTTCATGAATCCTGTAAACTTGAAGTTAATTGAGCTTATCGCTTTAACCGACTGTGAGAGTATTTATTTTAAGTGCTGTTGTTGTTAATGGGCAACATAGTGAGCCAGTTTACACACTATGTGTAAAGCTTTTCCCATTAGACTTCTTATTGCCAATAGTTTTGCTGGTTTTGCCACTGGTTCACTGCTGATTTATTTCTCTCTCTAATGGTGCATTTAATTGCCTTTGATGTAAAGAGTATCTTTTACTCAAATATATATTTTGACCCATTTATTTGCACAAAAATATTCTGTCTGTAATAGCAAAACATAGTAGGAAAAGCTAAACCAAACCAAATTAAACCCCTAAAGTACTCATTTGAACTAACAGCTTGCCTGCTGTGCATGTTGGAACAGCCTCCACTAGTCTGGGCTGATGATCCAGGAAAGCTGTCCTGCTTTGTTTCCCATCACAGTTTTCAGATCTCCATCGAAGGCTTAAAGTATTTACAGTGCTGCAGTCTGCCTTTCCTCCCCGAGCCTCCCTGAGGACGGCATTACAGCTAATGGGAGATATATGGCCAAACAGATGGAGCTGGCATGCTGTGGACTCATCCGCTGTCTCTCAGAGTTTGAGATGGGTTTTTGTTTGCTAGTTTGTTTGTTTATTTTAGAAATCTGGCCAGTTTTCAGACTTGATCACAAGTGTCATTCCCCTCATAAGGTTGAGTGGCCAAGCACTAATCTGGAGGGTGCAACATGAAGAGAATAAGACAGGTGAGGAAAATCTTCCAGAATTGTTAACACACAAAAAAGCTCTTTTGAATCTTGACACAGTATAGAGCTCTTCATTTGATATAAAACTACGAGCTCTTCATTTGATATAAAACTACAAGCCCTTTTGTTGCTCACTAATACAAATGAGGAGAGACTTGGTTTGTGAAGGGAATACTGTTTTTATATGTTATATAAACAAACACACATAGACATACACAGTCCAGACCCAACAGCTTAAGTGGTAAAACATATTAAAGCTATTATAGAAAGCTCATTTACAGACATTTACATAAACTGCTCTGCAGCCTCAAGTCCCTAAAACAATAAACAATAACTGTCAAATACATTCCTGCATTTGATAAAAGCACCGTATGTATTTTCATATGCTGGGAAAGTGGTCAGCTCACCAAAATTACAAAAAGACAATAATGTAAATCCAGTTGTGCAATATTTTCCTGCCACGTCACTGCAAATATAAGCACTCGAGTTGGATTATGATTTTCGTTATGTATGAGAGCAGATGCTGACAGCCATTGTGATCCACTTGAAAAAAAAAAAAAAACGGGCTGGAGCTCACTAGCAAAGAAGAAATGTGAAGGAGTGAGAATGAGAATGACTCGACCTCAACGATCTCACTGCCGTTAAGTATTTGTAGGTAAATATAATTACAACTGCTTGTTTTGTTTTGACAAACAAATTATGATGTATGCAAATATTTATCTCTGACAGTGTTTTGCATTAAAGATTGGGATGTTTGGACTTTTACCTGATGTCTTGTGTTTGGGTGCATCCCTGTAGAATTTGTTCCACAAAAATTCTGCAAATATTTGGTAGCATTTTTGTAATAAAACTCACAACTAAGGGCGTAATTCAATGTATTTTATATGAAATTACGATGTAATTATATTTATCGGCAGGTACATAAGAGGGTAACAAGTCAGGCTTTTGCAAGAAACCTGTAAAGTAATTTTAAGTATTCGGTTACTTGCAGTGAGTAAATTATACTTTGAGTAAATTACAGTATAATGTGTAAAGCCTGGAAGTCAAATGTGTTTAAGTCCCTCCATAATGTAATAATTTCCTGTAAAGCACCTGAGGATATGCAATGCTTAAAATCGACCCTGTGTCTGTTAGCTGGTGTTTCGTGGAGTTGCCTAATGTGTATGCAATCATTTTATATTAGGACAGTGGATCTTTTAGATTCAGCATTTCCATTTCTGCATGGCTCCATACAGATGGTGGAATGGTGGCGGCTGTGGGACATTTTTGTAATTTGGATGAACTGACATTTTAAATTGCTTCTGTGAAAGAGGACATTTGTTTAATGAATAGCCGACTGCCACAATACATTTCACTCTGACAGATTCTATGTTGCTAAGAGGCATCGCACCATAAATGTCACATAAAACTGATTGCACAGATTTTAAACTCCTGAAAAATTGGTGTGACGTCTGATTAAAAAGTACCTGAAAGCAGGTGATCATGGGAAATGGCACAAAAAGTAAGATCTTTGTACGATAAAGTATTTCTAGTACAAAGTAATTATTTAAACTTTTTTCCCCTATGCTGTACCAGTTGTGCCTCCTATTTCCTTTTTCTTTTTAAGGTTTAGATTTAAGCATTTTGGGCAGTCTTTATTTAACAAAACAGCATTTTCCTCTCTGGGTTGAAAGGAATATTTAAGCACCTAAATTGTTTTGTGCGCTAATAAGTACCTGTTTCTTGGCACAAAGTAATATCCCTGGGAAAAAGACTTAGTAATTGGACCCACACAGCCTCTCCATCCTGCCTTCTCCTCACTGGATGCTGGGAGCCACCAGGTATCCGTTGAAGGTGATGTAAACATCCACGTCGTCGCTGTAAATGGCGTTGTCCCGCTCCCTTTTGTAGAGCCGCACCCAGACCTCGTCATTCAGAGCCAGATCCAGCATGACGCTCTGACTCTGCATGATGGACCGCTCGCTGGGCTGAGCGTACAGGATCACCTGCTCCTTGTCGTTGTGCATCAGGTGGAGGTATGTCTCCTTAAAGTTCCACGTGTGGATATTGACGTTGAAGAAGTAGATCCCGGGCACGTAGCAGTAGAACTTGCCTTTGAACATGTTAAAGTGCTCGTAGAGGTTGACAAACACAGTGTCAAACACCAGCGCCTGGTAGTAGTCCAGGCTGTGCAGGGATTTGCGGCGTCCCACAGAGAAAGAAGAGTGAGGGATCTTGCAGGCGTCTCCGGGTGCACCTGCTTGGCCTTTGCTGCCTTTAGGGCCCATGGGGCCTCGGTAGCCAGGAGTGCCCTCCAGACCTGGTTTTCCGGGTGTACCTTTGTCTCCTTTGTCTCCTTTATCACCTAAAGGGACAAAATGAAACGTGAACAGGGAGGAAGACAGAAAACCCACACGCGTGACTTGCATGTTTGAATATTTTAACCCTTTAAAGCCTGAACCATGAAATAATTGCCAGAAAATTCTATATTCTTGAAAATATAGTGTTTAGTAAACCTTCTGATGAAATCTTTCATTTTTAAATTTCATAAATGATTTTATATGAGTAGAAGTCTCAAAAACTCACAGGCTCAACACATGTATCAAATGTGATACACTTGGCTTAACAGGGTTAAAAGTAAAGCTCTTAACAGACATTTTAATAAAGAAGAGGTTAGCTTTTGCAAAGTGAGATATACTAGTGCTCACTGTACCCATTAATAGCAAAGGCATGTCAAGACCACATTAATTTATTCCCAGCTGGCTGCACCAGATGTTTCTTTCTTCCAAGAACTCAAAGTGATCTTGTCATTTAGCAAAGTGCAGCATTTAGTTGGATTCAAAGATTTTCTCTCAACTCTTCCATTTTCAGGTCTCCGTTTTATTGCGCGCACAGTACCTGCCTGAACTTTTTCATAGTGGCTACAAATCTAGAAGCAGCAACAAATTCCAGTAAACCTTTTATATCTGACATTTCAAATCCTGCTTATAAATCTAAAGGAACTCTTTCATTCAAAGTAGTGCTTATTTTAAACTTGACCTCCTCGTGGACTTTAAGACGAAATGTTCGGGTAGACCTTGTGAGGACAGCATGTCTGTAAAAAGCAGTTTGTTTCCAGAATCTACTGCCTCATTAAATTTGAAGTAATCACAGCCAAAGACCAGAAGGAACTGTAATCATTTCAGTTAAACACATTTATTTCTCCTTTTTCTGCTGCTGTTCTAGGCATCTAAAGGTGAACTACTACTGCTGACACCCTGAGACAGCACATGAGCTCTACTGGAGGAATGAGCATCATTCTTCTAAAACTGACTTGGAGCTTTCGTGATGATGCACTGTTTCATAAAATCTCCCTTAAAAGAACAAGTAGGAGTTGGCGCAATCCAAAGGTATCAAAATGGTCATCTAGCCTTGCTTCCTTCAAATTGCCTCCCTTTTGGCCATACAAACTGATTGGTGCATTTAATTCATACACCAATCAGTCATAACATAACAACACCACCTGTCTAATATTGTGTTGGCCCCCCTTTGGCTGCTAAATCTTCCCTGACCCATCATGGCACGGACTCCACTAGACTCCTGAAGGTGTGCTGTGGTATCTGGCGCCAAAATGTTAGCAGCAGACACTTTATGTCCTGGAAGTTGCTAGGTGCGACCTCCGTGGATTGGCCTTGTTTGTCCAGCACATCACACAGTCGCTCAATTAAATTGAGATCTGGGGAATTTGGAGTTCAAGCCAACACCCCAAACTCGTTGTTGTGCTCCTCAAACCATTCATGAGGAACTTTTGCTTTGTGGCAGGGAGCATTATCCTGCTGGATGAGCCTCCAGTCATCAGGGAACACCATTTCCATGAAAGGGTGTACATGGTCTGTAGCAGTGCTTAGGTAGGTGGTACAAGGTTTCTCAGCAGAACATTGCCCATCACACTGCCTGTGCCAGCTTGTCTTCTTCCCATAGTGCATCACTCTCACACTGCCATCTGCTTGATTTAAAAGAAAACGTGATTCATGAGACCAGGTCATCTTCTTCCATTGCTCTGGTATCCAGTTCTGTTGCTCACATACCCATTGTTTCCAGGAGTCAGCATGGTCACCCTGATTGGTGGCTGTACAGTCTTCTACATAACAGCCTGCGATGCACTGACATCTTTCTATCAAAAACATTTTTAAGCTACAGTAGCTCATCGGTTGGATTGGATCAAAAGGACCAGCCTTCGCTCCCCACGTGCATCAGTGAGCCTTGGCTGCCCACGACCGTGTCGCTGGTTCACTACTGGAACACTTTTGATAGACTGACCACTGCAGACCAGGAACACCACACAAGAGCTGCAATTTTGAAGATGCTCTGACCAAGTCATCGCAGTATGGCCCTTCTATCAAGCACATGAACTGTGAGAACACAATGTTTTCTTGCTCCCTAATATATCCCAGCCACTAACAGGTGAAAAGATAATCAGTTTTATTCACTTCATCACTTCACCTGATTGGTGCATGTTCAGCTTAAAATATGTTTTTAAAAAAATTACTTGGATATGTTTTCCTAGTTTTTATTTGCTCTTTTCTTGTTTATATCTGTCTTCCCTGGATTCTGCTAAGCTGCCACCACACGCCACCAAAACGTCCTCTTGATTTTAAATTTAAATGCGATGTGACAACAAGCTCTAAAAATGATTAATGCGATTTTGTGACTACTGACTGAAATGTCTCTATTTAAGCAAACATTTTGAGTGGTGCTATTATTCCCGAAACACAAGAGAATACTTTTGAGCTGATTGTACATTTGCATGTCAAGTGACACTGCTTATTCGGTAAGCCTTCCTACATGCCATCACCATATCGCTGTGGAACAGCTGTAAAAAGATGTGAGCCAAGAAAAGGCTCAGGCATACATAAACAGAAGTTAATTTAGGAGCAGTGCAGCTTACTGAAATTATGGGATGAAAAGTGGGTGACCATTTTCACTTTCAGCTGACAGCAGAGTTGGCTCAAATCTATCTATCATCAAGGATCTACGCGCAACTTTATTACAGCAATATTCTAGGCCAATTCGAAGATGGCTTGACAAGCCTAAAGGCAAGCACTTGTGCTCCCTATTTTCTGCCATACATACTGACTGGCCGCTTCATTACACCTATTCAACTGCTCGTTAATGCAAATATCTAATCAGCCTGTCACATGGAGGAAGCCTAGTGCATTTAGGAATGTAGACGTGGTCGAGACAACCTGCTGAGTTTAAAACTGAGAATCAGAATGGAGAAGAAAGATGATTTACGTGACTCTAAAACTGGCATTAGTTCTAGATGGGCTGATTATTGCAGAAACTGATGATCTTCTGGGATTTTCCAAAACAACCATCTGTAGGGTTTACAGAGAATGGTCCAAAACAGAGAAAATATCCAGTGAACAGCAGTTCTCTGGGTGAAACTGACTTGTTAATGTCAGAGGTCAGCGGGAAATGGCCACACAGCTTTGAGCTGATAAGAAGGCAACAGTAACTCAAAAAAACATTAATCACAACCAAGGAATGCAGAGATGCTTCTCTGAATGCACAACAGACATGTTGTGCATTCCCTTGCAGCAGAATGGCTACAGCAGCAAAGGACTACAGTGTGGGCTTTTGGCTACAATTTTTGACACAGGCTCACCAAAACCGGTCAATAGAAGATTGAAAAAATGTTGCCTGGTCTGATGAATCTCAATCTCAATTTCTGATGCAACTTTCAGATGGTCAGAACTTGGCGTAAACAACATGAAACTATGGCTCCATCCTGCCTTGTACTTGTTCAAGACCACTTGAAAAATGGCAGAAAATCATATTTTGCATTGTTGGATCTTGACAAGGTTCCAAGCAGAGCTTCAACATGCAACAAGAAGAAATGGAAGTGAGACAAAACATATTTTGAGCATGTAATTTATTACAAACAACATTTAAACGGAAACAGGCTGTTCATCAAAAGTTTAGGACCACATGCCAAGAGTTCATGATCAAGAGTTCAGGCTAGTGG